ATCGGACAAGCCCAAGTTTCTCACAGAAACACTCAATATACTAGAAACAGGAGAAAAGTCAGCGCAATAAAGGGCATACATGAAATGCCTAAAGATTTCACAAAACAAAACTTAAGAGTAAATTCAGCAAAACTGTAGGATATAAAATCACAAAAATCAATTGCATTGTATGTGCAAAATGAACAATCCTAAAGGAAATTAAGAAAATAATTTACCATAACATAAAAATAAGAATTTTTGGTATAAACTTAACTAAGGAAGCAAAAGGCATACTGAAAATGTTGCTGACAGAAATAAAAAATTATACCAATAAATAGAAAGATTCTTGGGGCTGGGGAGATGGCTCAGTTGAATAAGTGCTTGCCTGGCAAGCGCAAGGACCTGAGTTCAGTCCCCAGCTCCGCAAAAAAAAAAAAAAAAAAAAAAAAAATTTCTATTTTATGTACTAGAAGACTTCACATTGTTAGGATTTTGCTATTATCCAAAGCGATCCACAGATTCAACATAATCCTCACCAAACTCCCAAAGATGTTTATTGCAGAAATAAAAAATCTATCCTAAAGTTCATATGAAATCTTAGGGAACCTCAAACAGTCACAGAAATCTTAAGAAAAAGGGGCAGAGGACTCACTTTTCCCGAATGCAAAGCCACAGGAAGCACAGCAAGGTTGTCACGGGGAGAAAGCAACTGAATAGAAAAGCACGAAAATAAACCCTCATGCGTGATGAAGTGACTTTGGGGCCGGTGTCAAGAGTACTCACTGGGAAAAGGACTGCTTTAACAAATGCTTTTGAGCAAATTTTATGTCCATAAAGAATGAAACTGGAGCCTTGCCTCAAAATGGATCAAATACCTAAATATAAGAGCTAAAGCTACAAATACCTGCATGAAAACATGGGGCAGAAGCGTTGAAACACTGATTTGGCAATGATTTTCACATGACATCAAAAAGCACAGTAAGTGAAAACAAATAAACTACATGAAAATTATAATTATTCATGTATCAGAGGACACTGCAACAAGCTGAAAGGCAATCTACAGAGCAGGCAGAACGACTTGCAAATGCATCTACAATACCGACACCAGAATGTAGACCTAAGCTGCTAGAGTAGCCAAAGTCAGATGGAGAGGAGGATGACGATGACCAACAACTGCAGAAGACCAAACAGACTTGCTTAAGGTAAATTAGCGGGCAAGATGGAGAGTTCTGGAGAGGGGTGGCGGTGGGGGCTGCCAAACAATGTGAATGCACCCAGTGAACTGCCACATTTAAAATGGCTCAGCTCCTAACTTTGTCATGCGTCTTTTTAGACACCTGAAAATATTTCACAGGTCAGAGTTGCACACAAGGTCCAAGGCCAGAAAGTACACGAGATGGCACAGCCCACCAGCCTCTCCTGCAGATCCTCACAGAACAGCTCCCAGATTCAGGTATGGCTCTATGAACAAGTGCGGAGAGCGCAAGCTGTGTTATTGGCTTGGACAGGACCGGGAGGCTGGTATTAGACGATGCAGAAGAAATTCATTCTAAAGGTCAAGAAAACTGGGTCGGATCATGCTGAAAGGACACATTACTCTGCTACAGTATCTCCAGCGAGAAACAGTCACTGAGTTAAGACGGGCCGTGCAGACATCTCCGCTCTACACACTTGGTGCAAGGGCCGGGGTTCGATGCCCAGTACTGCAAGCCACGCTACTGTGCCAGCCGCTGAAACCGGGCGTGGTGGTGTACACCTGTAATCCCAGTGATGGGGAGACTGAGACAAGAGGATCACTAGAGTCCGAGCTGCGTAGCAAGACCCTGTATCAAATAAATAAATATTAACAAAGGCAGCCGGGGGCCGGGGAGATGGCTCAGTGGAATAAGTGCGTCCCTGGCAAGTGCAAAGGCCTGAGTTCAATCCCTGGTTCCACCAAAAAACAAAAACAAACAAACAAACAAACCAAATATATTCTGTGCTGCTTTGGAGCTGGGGAGATGGCTCAGCGGAATAAGCGCCTCCTGGCAAGTGCAAGGGCCTGAGTTCAATCCCCGGTACCAGGAAAAAAAAAAAAAAAAAAAAAGGCAGCTGATTAAGTGAAATATTTGTAAAACATTTGTTCATATTATTTTGACTACTGTTTTTACTGCAGGCCAATAAATGTAGTTTTTATTTGTGACCAGCTCAGCCCGCCCTGGGGGTGGGGCTGGCACAGCATATGGTGCTAGGATCAAACCCCCATCCCTGCACTTGCCCAAGCTTTAGTCTGCTAATCTGTCTCACCATCCTGTTTTTATTTTTTAAAAAATTTACAAAACATAGAATGAGAAAGTGACTCACCCAGCACAGTGGCATAGCCTGTAATCTCAGCACTCAGGAGGCTGAGGCAGAATTGTAAGGCTAGCCTGGGCCTCAGTGAGTTCAAAGTAAGCTTGGAATACATGGTAAGACTCCAAAAAAGAAAACAAAAAAATGGCACGGAGCCCCAGCCTCCTGGGAGGCCGAGTCAGGAGGGTTCCCAAGTTAGAGGCTGCACAATGAGTTGAAGGGCAGCCTAAAATAGAGTGAGAACCTGTCTCCTACCTCCCACTCTAAGTGCCATTATCCTTACCCAAGTACCAGCAATTCTTGGACAAACTAAAATCCATGTAAACAGAAATGGCTCTGCAACCTCACAATATGCTTAAGATGACACCAGTGTGGCAAATGGTAAATATTAGGAGTGAAACATGGGAATTAAATCTCATTACTCTCAAAACTACTATACAGGGCAAATCTCTCCAACTTATTTCACGTTATTCTGGTAAGGCAACCTTTAGACTGCCCCTGCTGCCCCAATAAATTATGTACCGCACTCGGCACCATTTAGGCAACTAGTAATTTTTCCTTTCAAATCCAGTTCAAGAGAACCTGAGAGTCGGCCAAATAGCTCAGCAGATTAAAGCGCCTGCATGCAGGCGCAGGAGCCAGGGGTTCGATCCCTGGCCTGCCAGGCCAGCCCTGCCCTGGGGTGCACTGAGCCAGCAATTGAGACTGGGCGTGGTGGCGCGTGCCTGTAATCCCAGCTCTTGGGAGGCTGTAAACAGGCGGATCACGAGTCAGATCTAGTAGTGAGACGCTGAACACCCTGTAGACCCTTCCCTAAGATACAAAAAAAAAAAAGGACCTGCATTGCCCAGGTATTTTGTCACTTTATCACTCGGTGCCATCACCTTCACCCTGATGTCATAGGTGGCCTTCTCTGTTTTCTTTTGTGGAACCAGAGATTGAACTCAGGCCCTTGCGCTTGCCAGGCAAGCGATTATTCTATTGAGCTCCTTTCAAATAAATGGGAGTTTACTCCAATAATGACAAAAATGTCAATACCTTTAAATTTTTCCTGGAAGGCTTGTCTTTCACGTTTAGAGTTGTTTTACTGGTCAGCATCTGTAAGGTTTCACTAGACGCGTTTTGTTGCTCCTCAGCATTCTCCCTGGTAAATACAACTGCGAACGACTCAGCTTTTGCCCCACCTAGGGGTCACCTTGTTGACTGCCTCTGCATGCTCTACCCCATTTGTGACTGGGTTGGCTGGGTTTGAGTGTGAACAGCTGACACCGAGGGCACTAACTTGGAGTCACTGAAAAGGTCCTCATAGCTAGTAAGTCTCATGCACTTCTGAAAATCAAGGGACAGATCCAAATCACAGTAGGATTTCTATAATTAAAATGGTCTACTAATTTTAAGTTTTCTTGTGCTTACTCTTGACTCAGAGCTCTCATAAATCTTGTACAGACTAGTTATTTAAAATATTGCAAAAACAAAGCAGTAAGAAACACAACTTTGGGCCAGGGAGATGGCTCAGTGGAATATGTGCTTCCCTGGCAAGCGCAAGGTCCTGAGTTCAATCCCTGGTTCTGCCAAAAGAAAAAGAAACACAACTTCACGTTGTAGTTTTTCCCTCTGTAATAACTGTCAAATTGTCACAATTGGTGGTTTTGCATCTATACTTTGGGGGGGGCGGGGCGGGAAGACACAGGGTCTAGCTGTGTAGCACAGGCTGTCCTTGAATTCACTACATAGCCCAGGCTAACCTCCAACTTGTGATCCTCCTGCCTCAGCCTCCTGTGCCACCTCCCCTGCCCACATCCATATTTCTTCTAAGATGGAATTTCTTTCTTTTTGGAAGGCAGGGTCTCACACTATGTAGTTCAAACTGCCAATGATCAATCCTCCTGCCTCAGCCTCTGGAGTGCTGGGATTACTGGCATGTACCACCATCTCCCACTAAGGCAGTATTTGTTGACCTACTCCTGGACAGAAATTTAAATTTATTAAAATAAATTATTTCCTAATAAGAGGAACACTAAGAAATAAGGTTTTGTTGGTATCATATTCCAACCCCAAATGGGACACAATTCAGCTCTGATACTCAATGCTGAAAGGTAGTTGGGGCTGCACTAATTTGAGGCTCAGGCTTTCCTTCAGGAGACTGTCCAATTCGGATGCAGGCCCCAAGCGAGGCCTTTCAACAGTTTTTCTGATTATAGGGCTGGGATTCCTGTGAAACTCTTCATTCAAGAATTTGATAAAATCAGTCAAGAGTTCAAAACACTGTAGCACAGAGCCCCTGTAATGAGAGCTTTTGACTGAGGCTGCACGACACAGGCCAAACCCTTCAGGAATGGACCTCAGGCGCACCTGCCCTGGCTGAAGGCCTTCCAGTGACCGTTCTCCAATGTAAAGCTCCCTCGTGGTCAGGGACGTGGCTCAGCAGCGGGGCTCCTGCCCTGCACACACAAGGCCCCGCGTTCAATCCCTAGCACAAAAATACAGCTACCGAGGGGCCAGGAGTTGCTGTCATCAGCATAACCAAGACACTCCTGTCCTTCAGGAAACTCAAGAGATCCAAGGTTTTGAGACAAAAAACAAATTCCTCCTCACACCCGTCAGTATGTCAAGGGTTTTTCCCACTCACCGAGGACAGCTCTCTGGCTCCGGTGGGAACGCATCCTCCAAGACAATGAAGAGACAGCCCCTCAAACCAGAATGAAATTTTATTGTGTAAAGTGTATAGAGTACGACTAGGATTCTCCTGTACAAAGTACACAACAATTTTAAATACAACTAAGAGAACTAGGAGTCCTATGACAACATGTGGTACAAGCCGAGCCATTTACAGACACACTAAAAAACTTTTAAATATCTTCTTTCTCCACAGAGTCCATGTGCATGTCTTAGAGCGGAGATGGGGACACATCCCGGGCAAGGTCACAATGGCATTTTATTGCCCTCGATGCTGATTTTCACTGCGTGTGCAGATCTGCTTTTTTTCCTGATATCTGTGAATTTTCTCATCTGCTTATCCAGTCGACTGATACCTTTCTTGGAAGTTGCCTGAAACTAAGAGTGGAGGAGAAATTAAAGAGCAAATTATTAAAGTACATAAATCTACTTTTGTCTTTCATCTTCTATCTGAAGGTTAGTAGTCAGAGAGCTCCTGAGTCTAGAACAGCCAGAATATGCGGAGGTGACCTCAGGGACAGGGCCAAATACACACAGCAGTGTCAAGCACCGATCACACTCTCAAAGGGGAGCAGTTTTCCTGTTGCTGTGCCTTGTTTTCCTTCGCTGTGGCCCCTGGAAATCGAGAAGTGGAAAGACACTGAGCCTACAGCTGCTCTCGGGTCCAGCATTTGCGTTAAAACCAACCTTTTCCCTGTCAAGAGTAATGTGAAGCTGGCCACCTGACTCCATGGAGCATGAAAGGAATGACCTCTGACAGCAAAGAAAAGGCACCTAAGGAACAAAGCCTTGCGCACAAGGAGCAGGGCAGAGGGTTAGGGAGGCGAGCTACTGGGTGCTGGAGCTCTGGGGGTCCCTCGCTCCGCCTGGCAGCTTCCGTGATCTGGTCTGCACACGTTCCAGGACTCTGCGCTTTCCCTTTGTATGTAAAGGTTTAGCTGGTTTTTAAAAAAAATCTCTGTATGCATTTAGAAGACTACAAGTCTTGAAAAGATGTGGTCTTCAAGAAATTGGTACTGTTCAGAAACACTGGACGATCTGTCACAGACGTTAACGATCAGCGTGAACTCTTCTCACCACGTGCTAACCACATAGAAGAGTGGCGAGTGATTAAAGGATGGCTTTTTGTGCTTTTTACCAGATGTTCATTATGCAATGTCCCCTGAAGCTCAATGCAAAAGAACGCTACGTGAAGTTGGGCTAAGAGCCATTTGGGGTGAGTGTCAGAGTGACGACACTTTTCTGAGCTCAGGGGCCCTTCGGGCCCTACCCCATCTCTAGACTCGGTCTCATCCCAACATGAAGTCAGTGAAGCACCAGGCAAGGCTCTCCTCAGCAAGAGCCATGCCGACCACCTAAGCTGTAAGACTTCTGAGTTAGTGCAAAAGTTCAGCCATATGACAAAGAGCTGGGCCACCATGACACTACTCCTCAGATCTCCCAGGCTCTTCTGAGTGTCTGACTTCTCTCTGGGCAATGCGCTCTAATTCTAGTACCTGGAATCATCCACATCAGCAATCTCAACTGCTCAGATCTCTGCCACCGCCCTGCACCAGCTGGCCTCCTCCTGGCCCACCCCTGCACCCTTCTTCCAAACCTGAGCCCTGACAGAGCTGTTCAGCCCCGGCAGGGGACACACGCAGGCCCATGCCAACCTACTTCTGCTGACACCGAGTTAGCCCGTGTCTGAAGACACGCAGATCCACATAACCTCCCACACCGAATTCTACTTTCCCTTCCTAATTCATCAGCTCTACACTGTACTTCTTTAGGACAGCAAAAGTAGATGATACACTGGTTCATCAGAGGAAAAAGAAACTCAAAAGATGAAATGACAGAAATTATAGCAGTACAATTTCAATTATAGGAAGTTCAAGAGAACAAAGAACAAGTCTATCAAACTGGTTTCATATGTTGAAACCATGGATGATTTTTCTTTTTTTCATCTCAAATTTTTCAACAAATATAAAAATTAAGTTTAGGGTATTAATGAAAATACATTTAAAATATTAAATTACTAACAGTGGCGACTTAGTGAAAGAGCAGAGTTTGGGAATGGAGGTTAATCCAAGCTTCTTCAAATTTAAAACTAAAACAACTTAAGATAAAGGGTTTCACTAAAAATCATTTAGCCACTCCAGGTTTCTGCATGGACAATGTGCTTTCTAAATACTCATTAGTGTCCCTACGAATATAAGCACTAGAGAACATGCAAGATGCTTTCCTAAAGAGGGAAACAGGATCAGGAAGGTTACGGATATTGAGAAGGTAACGGTACCATCAGCCCTGCACTCTTTTCCTCCTCCTCCTCCTCTTTTTGAGGCAGGGTTTCCTTCCGTAGTTCGGGCTGTCCTGGGACTCACTATGTAACACAGGCTGTCGCTGAACTTGCAGCAATCCTCCTACTTCAGCCTCCCGAGTGCTGGGACTACAGGTGTGTGCCACTATGCCAGCTTCTTCCTCACAGTTCTGGGGACTGAATCCAGGGCCCTAGCACACTACGCAAGGGCTCCATCACTGAGCCAACCCCTGGATCAAAGTATGGCCTGCTGGAGCCCAGGCCAGCTACAGCCTCCATTAAACCCGCCCACCACAGCTGTGCTGGGCCAGGGCAGGCAGGCAGTGCCCCGAAGCCCTCTTCTCTCCTCCAGTGCCAGCGAGGTGTCAGGCTCCTCTACCACCCTTCTCCCCACCGGGAGGGAGACCAGAACTAGCAGCAGCAGCTGACAACCATGCAGCCCCAGAACAGCGGGATGCTTCCAAAGAAGACGCCTTTCGGCTTCAATTGCACTTTCTTCGTCAGACTATGCCGGATTTTCCGGAAAATAAGCCCTCACTGGAAAATAAATCCTAGCATGACCGTCCCTCCAAAATAAGACTCAGATAAGATGGTCAGCCAGATTGTCCTGTTTAGTATATCCACTGCAACACACAATGACATACTGAATTAAATATTAACATGCAGCATGCAGTTGAATATAAACAAATAATACTACTGACGTTAATAATATAAATGATTATTTATAAACAGCCAAGCGGGTGACTCTGGATGAAAGGTAAGCACATCAACTTGAGACTCTCTGCTGAATGATCAATCAGAGCATAGACAACGCGAGAATGACGTAGCATGCACTTGCGATGAGTGGGCAGCATGGCTGTGGCTAACGTGCATCTTCCCAGCGCAGTACGTCACCACTGCGTGATGCACTGTGATAGGCTGCAAGGAGAAGAGCTCCAGTGCTGGAGGCAGACTGGGGCTGATGGTCCCCAGGAAACAGAGACCCAAGAAATACAGGCCAGAATTTGGAGTTAGGACAATGTTCAAGACTGTGACTGTACATGTACACAAACAGATGTTGATTTTTGTACATGAATAAATGTAGGCTATTGTACATGAAAAAATAAGACATCCCTGAAAGTAAGCCCCACTGCTTATTTTTCGGAAAACAGTGGTTTCCATCTCAGAAAAGTATTGGGTAAGAAGATATTACAAAGAGAGGCTAAAAAGAGGTACAAGGCAGTGAGAAAAGAGGAAGTTAAAAAAAAAAGAAAGTACTAGAGAGGAAGAAGGCCTTGGGACAGAAGCAGCCCCCCACCGCCCCCCACTCGTTCTCAGTAAATAACAACGCAGTCTGTTGCAACAGCTGCCGGGCAGCACAGGGACCAGGACGGGCCTGTGGAAATAACTGCCGCGGCACAGGCCAGCGAAACAGACGGCAGCAACATGCACACTCTGCACACCGCGGCGAGGCTGCCGCTGTGGCTCTCAGAGCACAGAGGCCAACGAGTCTGGCTGGTGATTTAGCTCTTCTTCACTTGTAACCACGTACTGCACCAGCTTTATGCTTGTCCCTGAGACACTGACAACAGAAAACTAAGCTGCCTCCCTTCCAGCAAGAGGCCCTCAGCCAGTACACACCCTGTACCGCAGAGCACCCGGACAAGAGCTTTTCCGTAAGCAGCAAGTACTAGACAGGAGGCATGCAAAGCCTACCGGGGAGTGATGACTACCTGGCTCACGTACTGACAGAGGAATGGACCTCCACGTCAGCTTCTCCACGTGTGGGAGGCCACACTTATCTCAAGGTGCTGTCAGGCCGTTACTTGGGAAACTAGAAGCAGAGGCCTTCCTGTTAGGAACGCACACCACACGACCTCACTCTGCCGGCAGCGCCAAGCCCATGCTTCCTGGGATACCTCGCAGGAACGCTCTGCAGGCCGGGCCTACAGGGGCATCCTGTTGCCTTCAATGCTGAACTTGACAGCACGGTGCACTCTGCTGAGCCGTTTCTGTTCTGCAAATCGCCTCTTATGCTTTTCCAGTCGGCTTAGGCCCTTTTTAAGAATACCAGGCTAGAAAGAGCGGTTCAAGTGGAGAATAAGTAAGACCACCAAGAAACAATGTCTGAGAAGCGTTTATAATGACAGAGGAAGGTTTTAATCTAATGATTTCACAACAGAACTGCTTAGACAGCCGGAAGAGAAAGGGAGGGAGTCTGCAGAAGCAGGAACACTGGTACTTAAAGCTGTTCTTCATAAAAACCAAAAACCACCGTGCCGGATCACTGTAGGCTTCAAATTCCCTGGAAATAAAGGGATGCAAGGGAGAAACTTCCTGTTTCTTAATATTGGTTTAATTCTGAACACAGCTTATCAGCAATGAACTTTGATCTTGGGTTATACTTTCTCCTACTTAGGATTGTTTGACCTGTGATTTGGCTAGATAAAAGGTCAATAAACAGTTCCCTATAAATCAGATAAACCTTAAGAACTTTAAGGACTCTTAAATATGGAGAAAAAAACCTCAAATGGTAATCTCTGTGTGAGATCCACCTTGCTCCTCCTCTGCTTGCTTACCCTGGATGACTCCATTTCCACGTTCCACTTGGGCCTGACAACATAGTCCTTGTTTGAAGGCATGGGGACCCTTGCTCGGGCACAGAAGCCAGGATCTCCAGGCCTAAGAGCCCTGAGAAAAGCAAGAGGAAAAGCACGCTGAGTACGCAGTCAGCTCCTGTGGCGCCCCGAAGCCACCTCACCCCCTGTACTCCATCTGCCGCACTCAGCTGCAACGCTTCAAGTCTCCTCTGCCTCCCGGGGCACTGCCCCCGCCCTCGCCCTGGCAACCGTGTAATCAGCTACGCTGCTGCCCTGGGTCAGCCCCACAAAGCCAACTTCCTTTGCGTTCACACGGATCTCTGCTCCCCAGCTCTGGATGGCAGCATGCCCTCTCCTTCTAAGACTGCAGCTCCAGCAGGACTCTGAATCCTAAGGTCACTAGTCTGGTGGAGTTACTCAGGAGTTTTCTTGTGGCTCGAGTTTACTTGTGAAGATAAAGGAGTCAAAACGAGCCCCAGTGGGGGCCGGGGAGATGGCTCAATGGAATAAGCGCTTCCCTGGCAAGTGCAAGGGCCTGAGTTCAATCCCCGGTTCCGCAAAAAAAAAAAAAAAAAAAAAATGAGCCCCAGGAGTTCTCATAGTTTTGAGTTCTCATAGTTTAGAGTCTCAAACGAGACCGCTGCAGTTCTTATAGTTTTGCATAAACAAATCACACGGTAATTGCCGTATTTCTTTTTACAGAAACCATTGAGAGAACTACAGATTTACCTGTAGTTATAAGAAGTACTACCAAAGGTATTACCTCCTGAAGGCAGGCATGCAGTATCACCACCAGGACAGTGACACAATCCTGAGTTACTGTATTTACTTTTCTTTTTTTTTTTATAATTTTTTATTTATTTATGTGTGTGTGGCCAGCTTAGCCCACCTGGGGGCGGGGTGGGCTGGCATGTGGTGCTGGGGGATCGAACAGCGGTCCCTGTGCTTTGCCAAGCTTGTTCCAATCAAGTGCTTTAGACCACTGAGCCATCTCACCAGCCCCACTGTATTTACTTTTCCTCACCTTCACTTGAACTCATTTGTTAGCTCACAAATCTGAGAAGATCCATGTGAGACCAAAACACAAGTGCCGCCAAAAGGGAAGCTCCTCTGGGGTTGGCTGGGCACTCCTCCTTTGGGAAACGGGGTAGCTCCCTCTAGTGGTCAGTGGAAAGCGGCGGCATCTCTCAACTTTAGTGAATGGTGATGCCAGTCTCAGGATGTGAGTTAAAATTCTGGTTGGAGCCTTCAATTCCAGCCAAATTGTCCACACTTAGGTTACCAGCTATGGCAGCTTTGCCTCTGCTATATCATCTCAACCTTCCGTCCATCCCTCTGTGGCTCTGTTCAACTGTTTCTTAGCATCCAATTCCACTGGGCCGAGCTCCTCCTACATGATGCTGTCAGCATTCCAAATCAAACCCAATGGCTTTATGCCTAGGCTCAGAAACGTTCCGTGGGGTCACAGAGAGGTGAAAACCCCTGCCCCTGATTTTAGTCCCTCCCTAGGCCACATCTGGATCCGGCACCCCCTGCCGCTCCATCATCTCTACTTGCCACTCTGAAAGCAGGCCCTGCACACCGACTCCACAGCCTGGCCCAACCCCACCCTCTACACACACACCTCTGAGAACATGGACCATTTGCTGCTGCATGTGAAAAACTTTAGCACTTTGAAGCAGCAGCAAAATCTTGATGGAATGAACCGTTAATATTCCGGAGCACTACTTTTCTTAAAATAGCGAACAGAAATCTTTTATATATTCCAAGAGAAAAAATTAATACAAAGTCCTTACTTCTCCTCTCCGGTTAGCACCTTTTCCAGGTCTCTTCGGGGGGTCTGCCCACCAGTGCTAAGAAAAGAGCAAATAGGGAGACACTGGGAACCTTTTTTATTTATTATTATTATTTTTAACCCTATTATAAGCACAAACCAGGTGTCAAACTTAGACCACGATTGGCTCCTTTATACTGGAGCAGGGGAAGTACCTCCTAATCATTCAGAAGTGCTGTTCATTCCCTACCAGGTTTCATGCGGGAGCAACTCCGCGTGTGTAACCAATGACCCTGGCTCTTGCATGCAGTATGCTCCCCCAAGCAGAACAGGAACTTCTTTTTTCTCTGGGCTTTTGGAAATGGACTAGAAAAGTACATTTCTGCAAGTGGCCGGGAACAACATACTCTCCAGAACCATGAAAGAGGCCATGTCTCACGAAATTTACCCAGGAAGGTCTTGGTGTGGGGAAGACCCGCACCCTAGGCTACTGGGTATTACCAAGTGCTTTCTTCTCAGATCTAACACACAGAGCAGACAAAACCCTACGTCTGCCATAATGCCAACATCCTGTCACCTCATTTTCCCAAACACAGGCAGTGACAGTCACTCACTTACTCCCACCTGTCCCTCATACCTGCTCAGTCTCCGTCGCTGAGGCATTTGTTCTAGATCTCTCTGCTCCCTCTCTTCTCTTGTCATTCCTTTGTAGTTTGAGGTAAGACCAAAGATAGGCCGAGACCACTCATCTGTAACAAGAAAAGACCCCCAACTGCTTAGCCCATAACACTGTTCTTTCTCCCACGAGGCTTTATGCACACACTCGTACAGTGACGGTGAGCCTTTCACGGCTTGCAGCGACACAAGCAGCTGCTGCGGCACGCGTGCTCTGGCTCACCACGACTGCGCTACGCCCTTAACATCTTTTTCTTAAGGACACTATGATTTCAGGACCATTGACGGGATAAACACAATACAATATTGGTACTGTAAAAAAACTCTGGATGACTCAGGAAAGTAGTGTAAAAAGACCAATTCAATCAGTAATCACCAGAGATTTAAAGAAAGAAACACAACCTGGTTTGACAGTCATAAACAAACTGGGTTAAACATTTTATAAAACCATAACTTAAAAAAATATTTCTAAGAAGCAGCTTAATTTCTAGCCTTACTCTGCTGAAAATAGGAAATATTTAAATCCTACTTTCTTATCCTAACCAAAACCAACTTATTACTTATCAAAATGGTCTAAATTTTTAAAGTTTACATTTTTAAACCAGGTGTGATATTGCACACCTGTATTCCTAGCTCTCAGGAGGCTGAGGCAGGACTGCTGTGAGTCTGAAGGCAGCCTGAACTACATACTGAGTGAGTTCAAGGCCAGCCTCCACTACAAAGTGAAGCCTTGTCTTAAAACACCAAAAGAATAAAAGTTAAAAATAAACACAAATTACATTTTTATAGCACGGTGCAGAGACTGTGTCCCCTTGACCCCATTACAGGCTCTCAGGTGACCACGTGCGCACTGCTCACTCCCTAGAGGGCCTGCGGTGACCACCGTTTCTGTCTGAAACAACGTGGCTCACTGTTGAACCAATATACATAAACCAGAAGGCACCTTTACAGACACAAAACAGGCACCACACTAAAAAGAGGCAGGATTCACAGGAGTATGTAGTATCTTCTAAAACTGTGCACTGACTCCATCCCAGGATTCAGAATCAGAATTATAACTCATGGATACCAGAGAATTTTCTGTTTCTCTGAGCCTGGGGGGAACTGAAAATCACTGCTTAAAAGCAATCAAAAGTTTATCATTCAAGGGCCGGCCAAATAGCTCAGTGGATTAAAGCGCCTGCCTGCAGGGGCCGGGGATTCAATCTCCGGGCAGTGCTGAGACGGCAATTGAGCCTGGGCTTAGTGGCACGTGCCTACAATCCCAGCTCTTAGGAGGCTGTAAACAGGCAGATCACTATGAGTCCGATCTAGCAGTCTGACTGAACACCCTGTAGACCCTTCCCTAAAATACAAAAAAACCCTCCAAAACAACCCCCCCAAAAGTTTATCATTCAAAAGGCAGTAAACTGCAGATGTAAACTGTAGACCAAAGATTATGGTATTATGTCTCTGCTTTTTTATTTATTATTTCTCTAGCAGTCTTGATAATCTTAAAAATTTAACAGAAGGATAATTAACTTTTCAAATACAGAAGCTTAATTAAAATTTCTTTCCAATGTGAAGCATGAAAAGAGTTAACGATAATGAAAACAAATACAGACGCCATGCTTAAACCTGAAGGACTTGAGACATAACATGGCGCTTCATTAATAAAAAGTATTCTAGGCTGCGGATTTCTTAGGCATTCATGAGAATATGGGAAGCGTTCTGGAGCATTATGTGGGTAACAACTGCAGCGGCAGTAACTACAGAAGAGCTAACATTTCTTGGGTACTTCCTGCGTGCAAGGTGTTGTACTTCATGAACTTCCTCTCATCTAATCTTTATACTAACCCAGAGAAAACAGACGTCAATTTTACAAAGGAGACCAAGCACAAAGTTTAAAGCCCTAGGAAGGACCCGCAGCAAGGAGGTGGTGACCTACACGGGGAACCAGGTACGGCTGACTCTGGGCCTGAGTTCTACCCCTCCACATTTGTGATCCATGACTAGAAGAGACACGCTCCACGTTCCCTGTGGTGAGTGTGGTCACAATGTACGGCAAATATATGCTACTACTACTGGGGGAAGAAAAAAAGAAACACGAGCTTTTTATTTGCTATATACTCAATCCTGGATAACATAGTAAGTATGCTGAGAAGCACTTTAAAGTATGAGGAAAAAGGCTGACACTTTTAAGAAGCTACTAAAATGTTTCTGTTCTACTAGACTCATTTTAAACATTGGTAAAAAGTAGCTTTTATATAAGTCTCTCTTTATATAGACATAAAAACAACAAACAAAAAGCAAAGTTTACATACTGATTAACTTCCCTGCCATGTCCTTGTTGGACCTGGATTCCTTGGGGTGCTTATAGAGATACATCACTGCTCGTCCAATCCCACTATGCTTCAGGGTCTCCTGGCTCACACTAGGTAGCTGGGGAACACAAACACATACACACAATTAATCACTCACAAGCTGGGAGCTTTGCTGATCTATGCTAGAGGACCTTTGAGCCCTGGCTCATTTGCATCTGCACACATTTTAAAAGCCCATTTCTAAGATCTACACATACTAAACACACGGATCCTTTGTATTCACATAAGAAGTTGAGAGTTCAGTGTTATCCAAGTTGAAGTAAAACCAACCAATGTGACCAAGTGTGAAGCGAGTATATTTACACACAGCAGTTTAATACAGGAGTTAGCACAGGCCTGAAGTCAGTGCAACTGAGACTGAACCCAAGCACAGCCACCTGTCTGCCATCTGACCTTGGACTAAGCATTCAACTTCCTTTTTGGGGGGTACTGGAATCAAACTCAGGACCTTGTGTTGCCAGGCAGGCACTTAAGCCACTGAACTATCTCCCTGGCCCAGTACTTAACATCCGAGTTTCCATTTCCTCGCCTGTAAAATGGATACAGTACACCTACCTTACAGGTTTATTGTGAGGAACAGGTGAACCAAAGTACCTGCACAGCGCAGGCACGTAGGAGGTTCTCGGGAATTCCTTGGTGAGTTCCAGTGGCAGGCCCAAGGCATCAGCCCACGCAAGGAAGCCTAGCTCAATTCCCACACAGGGTCACAGGACTTTGAACATGGCATTCTTTCTACATCCACGTTCCTCTCAGGCAAAGTCCAGAGAGGAACTCTGGAGTGCAGAGTCCCTCTTCATGGAGACACACTGCTAATTCAAATCCTTTTCCTTCAACCCTACAGTTATAGGAAGCTATGGGTTCTTCCATTCTATTATTAGGCAGTCCTTTTTTCTAACCCCTTTAGGGAAGACTTTGGCAGAAAGAACTTATACACAGTAAAATACAGAAGTCATGAAAATACAAACCACATCAGAAACTTAATGAAGCACAACCAGACTATCTGCTGCTAACCTCCTGCAGAATCTTCAGCAGCTCCTCCCGAATCTTCAGCGCTGGCAGGCTCCTGTCCGGCAGTGGGGACAGCCACTCTTTGATGGCAGACATCACGCCGCTGTCAATGAATGTCTCCTTAAGGTCCTGCCTGCAGTAACAATAGCACAAGAGTCAACTCTATGAAGCTGAATTGCACAGCATCTCCCTGAGATGTTCTTACATGGTTGCTGATATTTTTTTTTTTTAATTTATTTATTTACGTGTGTGTGTGTGTGTGTGTGTGTGTGTGTGTGTGTGTGTGGCCAGCTCAGCCCACCAGGGGGCGGGGCTGGCTGGCATGTGGTGCTGGGGGATTGAACCGCGGTCCCTGTGCTTTGCTAAGCTTGTTCTAAGTAGGTGCTTTAGACCACTGAGCCATCTCACCAGCCCCTGCTGATATTTCAAACTACTGCTTTTAAAAAAAATTATATAAACATTCAGTATCACTGGGCCTCTATTCTGGTCTCAAAAGCAAAATGAAATTTCACTCTTATTTTCTAGGCTTGGCCAGCAAAGATGATTTTTTAAAAATAAAAACGGGGCTGGCGAGACAGCTCAGCAGACTAAAGCTCCTGCTTAGGGAAGTGCAGGGACCTCGGTTTGATCCCCGGCACCACAAGTCATGCCAGGGTGGGCTAAGCTGGCCAGAGTCTGGGCGTTGTAGCGTATTCCTGCAATCCTAGTGCTGGGGAGGCTGAAAGCAGGAGGATCACCACAAGTCCGAGCTAGCTGCACAGTAAGACCCTACAACAATTAAATACATTTAAATAAATAACCGGAATAAAGGCAAATGACACAAGGCAGACTAACGGTAATATGAAAGGTACACTGCTCACTCTATCACAATACGATTTCTTCAACATCTGAGGAGGCAGAGAAACAACAAATGTGCTAATCTCTACAGGACACCAAGAAAACAGCGCCCAGGAGAAAAACAATCTCTGCCAACGCTGGCAATTAAAATTCCACTGCAGGAAACAGAATGGATGATGTTAACAGAAAAGCTGGCCACACAGCCCTGCCTGTTGCGCAGAAGCAGCAGCTGTTTAGTCGTAGTAGTCCTGAGTTGGGCTCGGGGCTCATTAATGCACTGATTCATGTAGTCCATCAAATGCAGGCTGCAACTTTATTCAAAGAGAAAGCAAAACTGCTGGTGACTGTGAGAAAACCAATGAAAAGATTTCCTAACAAGGCTCCAGTAAGCAGGGCAGCATTATTACAGAACTACCAATGATCATGATGTGCAGGGACATACAAGTTCTTAACAATATGTGCTCCATGTTATCCAATTTATGGTTTTTAATCACGTTGAGAAAACAGAAGCAATTTTACCACACGTTAGACTATCTGTAAAGAGTAAAATTAGTTGTTTTCAAGTTTTTCCTTCATAAATCAGTGTTCTAGGTGCTGAGGAGATAGCTTGGCAGTCTAAGTGCCTGCTGAGCAGGCACAAGTGACAAGGACCAGGGTTTGATCCCTGGTACCGCATGCTGTGGCAACCTTCAAACCCTAGGCACACAGTGCCAACCACCAAAACTGGGTATGGTGGCGCACACCTGTAATCCCAATGCTGGGGAGGATTGCTACGAGTCTGAGCTGTGCTGACCCTGCACCAAGCAATTAAAAAAAAATTTTTAAAGCTTAAAAACCAGCAATTTTCTCTTCTATCAGGTATCCAAGTTTAAGAAAAATTAATGAAATCACTGCATCTCTGTTGCCTGGGCAGATTGTCATTATCTAGTACCTTTTCCAAGGAAGTAAGATACTTACTTTTTAAGATGCATAACCACAGTAGGCAATAAAGTTAATTTTTTTAGAGCTGGCTTTTTTTGATTGTTCAACTGTCTGTCTTCCTGTTCAGAAAAAAGACAAAAAAAGATTTAAGAATCCAGAAGTAGCCGTTACTAATGGATTAAAATCACTGTAATTATGAACCTTAAAGCAGTAGCTTCTCAAGGAATCCGCAACCTCTGCAGGGCATCAGGGCGTGCGTGTAATCCTGGCACTTTGGGCGGCAGAGCCATGAGGCTGGCAAGGTCAAGCCCTGCCTGGCCAAGTAAGAAGATCCTATCTTGGGCCAGGGAGACAGCTCAGCGGCTTACCTGCCTGCCTGGCAAGTGCAAGGTCCTGAGTTCCATCCCTGGTACCACACACACACACACAAAAGACCCTATCTCAAAATAAGTAAAAAGGGAACACGACCAGTGCCACGGTCTGCCCAATGGGAGGAAAAGGCTATATATGTATCAGTGTGAAGGAGGCTCTGGGCACAATCTTCGGCATGGAAAAAGCTACAATTTTTCCTAGAAGTATTAATATGGTCCCGCATCTATCGAGCTCATTCGATGACTTGTAGCTCAGTGCGAGACCGTGTACGGTACACATACTACAATATTAAGAAATGCTCAGAGGAAACCCAACTTGGTGACTCTGCTCCTGCTTACATAACTCACACACACTACTATAATGTGTAACAGAACACAGAACCGCGCTACTGTATGGAGCAGTACAGTCAACAGAAATCCCAGTACTGGAGAAACAAGGCAGTCTACGCCATCCCCGAAAGACATGTCCTAAGTCTGAACAGCACACCCTAACTGTAAGTCTGAACTGGCATTACCCAGGTAGCTTGTGAAGTGAGGAATGTATGTATGATACACACTTCTTTGTATCTGTCTGAGTCAGTCAAATCCATAAAATTATTACAGCTACTTTCAACAATTCTAAATAGAGGCACAATTTTAATTTAAAGTACCAGCACAATTATCAAGCTCCCAGAGTTCATTCGAAAGACAAATTATTATAGCCAATCAGTTTTAGTCTGTCTTCCAAAAATAATCTTCTAGCTATGATTTGTATGCTATATGACCAAGTAAGACTTTTTATTTTGTTTTGTTTTTTTGCAGAACCGGGGATTGAACTCAGGCCCTTGCGCTTGCCAGGGAAGCACTTATTCCACTGAGCCATCTCCCCAGCCCAAGACTTCTGGTAGTTACTTGAATAACGTTTATTCTTTAGGTACGAAAAGGTCAGCGTCTACAAATGCACAACGTCCCTGTCCTGCTCACTGAACGAGTGAACGCGCAGCGCAGCCCTACTGCACCCAGGTCCCGACTACTTTCCCCTGCCTCCCAGACACTGATCACTACTGGTACCTCAGCAAGTCTAAGAGGACTGACCGTGCTTGCCGCCAATGAATTATTGCTACTACAACTGTTGTTTTGTTTTTGTGGAACTGGAGACTGAACTCAGGCCCTTGCGCTGCCAGGCAAGTGCTTATTCTCCTGAGCCATCTCCCTGGCCCCTATAACTGGTTTTTAAACAACACTTGGACCATTTTTACAATTTGGACAGATTTTTTAATTTTTATTTATTTATTTTTGTGGTACCAGGGATTGAACTCAGGACCCTATGCTTGCCAGGCAGGCACTTTTTCTACTGAGCTATTCTCGCTGGCCCCACGACAGGTTATTTTATTTATTTATTTATTTATTTATTTTTTGGCGGAACCAGGGATTGAACTCAGGCCCTTGCGCTTGCCAGGGAAGCGCTTATTCCACTGAGCCATCTCCCCAGCCCCAGACAGGTTATTTTATTTTTTAAATTTTTTTTTTTAGCATTTATTTAGTGTGTGTGTGTGGCCAGCTCAGCCCACCAGGGGGCAGGGCTGGCTGGCATGTGGTGCTGGGGGATCGAACCGCGGTCCCTGTGCTTTGCTGAGCTTGTTCCAAGTAGGTGCTTTAGACCACTGAGCCATCTCTCCAGCCCCAGAAAGGTTATTTTAAATGCAATGAAGTAGATGCAATCTCTTAATCAGAGGCAAGAGAATAACATTTAAAAAATTTATTTCAAATGATTTTGCCAATTTTATTATTCCTTTCTGTCCTGCCCTCGTAGTCTCCTTTATCCCCCTACAGAACAAAAGCTCTTTTCTGCCTGCTGAAATGCTTGCAGATCTCACAGATGGGACTTCCCCTACCGCAAGACTCCTTTTTAAGTCATGTCTTGTGTCAACCAGCATTTCATCTATCGCAATGTCTAGAAACAGTCTGAGGACAATAACAATGACATTGGAGAGGGCGTCAGCCCTTCCACTTGAACCCCAATCACATATGCATCTGAATCCTTTCCAGTGAGTTTGGAAAAATGGGGAAGCATACGAAAACACTGGGCTGAGGGACTGGTAGTACATATAAGATGACTTTTGCTTCCTAAGCACTTAAAATATCAGGGTTATCAGGTCTACTACTCTGGGAAGAAAGGAAGAATCTGGGACTCCAGCACACACCACAGTTGCTACTGACATAAACACACATGCCGAGTATGGTGTCTCCCCATGACTCTCCTGTACCCTACGCAGTCGAGGGAGACAGGAGCTATGGAGGTACCCACAAAGCACACAGGGAGAGGATAGGACAAGGGCAGGCTGCCCACTCCCCTAGGCCCATACCACACAGGATGGAGGGGAGTGAGGGCAGAGCACTAGATCCTGGTGGACTTGGGCTGCAGACCCTGGAGGCTGGGTCCCTCCAGTCAGTTCCTGATGGTTCCAACCAACTCCCCCATCAGCCCTGGGATGCCAGCCCCCCTGTTCGCCAATTCACCATCTCTAGCTTCCAGACTCATGTCTAACACATGCAACCTGTGGCCAGGGACGGAGAGCCGCCAGCCAACTGGGCCTGCTCTCAGCAGCACGCAGGATGCCAGTACAGAGGCAGCAGGGTGAAGATGCGGGCTATGGAACGCTGCCTCCTTCCTAATGATACAACTTTATAACTTTATAAATAGAGACATCAAATGTGGTGGTGAAGTAGTCAAACCTAGAACAAGCCATTTCCCCCTAGAACCACCAAAGCCATTCATCTAAAAAAGTTCATTTCACATTAACACTTGGTCTTTTTTTCCCCTAAAAGTGACTAAATAAATCATTCACGTTATTTCCATGTTTAAAATTTAGAACGTTAAAACATATAAAGAAAATTGTAATGCTGGAATCTAATAAGGGACTCCTTCAAAATATCCTCTTTGAAAAGGTTCATAGGACAGATCCAGTCTAGAACCTGTCTCTCTTTAGAGCTGAAGAGTCCCCTTTGGTCTCACTGGCTTTTCTGTGAGCTAAAACTTGTATCAGCTAGGAAGCAGTCTAACCCTACTGAGGTACCACAGCTCAACAAACTAACTGCTAATTATTACTTTTTTTTTTTTTTGGCAGAACTGGGGATTGAACTCAGGTCCTTGCGCTTGCCAGGTAAGTGTTTATTCTGAGCCATCTCCCCAGCCTTATTTATTACTTTAATGTTGCTACTGTAACCTGTTTTCTTTGTTAGAGATTTGAAAAGAGGGGCGAAGCAGAGAGGAGTAGGGAGGGAAGGGGAGAACAGGAGAGGAGGGGAGGACAGAACAGGAGAGGACAGGAATGATGGGATAGGACTGAGATGTGAAGGAAACTGGCCCAATTCACTTGGCTTTCTGTACTATCTAAGCCTGTTCTAAAATGAAAGCAATCAATTCATCATGAGTTGCTGTGAATATTGTTAAACATTTGCATGGCTGGATTTATGGTGAAATGTAACATAAAATGAAACGTGAACTTTGTGAGTTTTCACACTGTCCTGCATTTCTCTTTGTACACTTTAGTCATTGGTTGACCGTGCTAAGTCTGCCGTGAGAACATCCGTTTAACTGCAGGAGCTGCAGGCGCGCAGGCCGAGACACTGTGGGCCTGTAGCCAAGCATCTGAGGTGGTGAATAATAGCTCCTCGAGTGTGCAATGAAAAATGGCCTCCGATAAAACCACACTCCAAAAATGGAAAAGAAACAAAATGGAAGAAGTAAAAAGTTGAGAAGCAGAACTTGAAAGAATCTGGTAGAAAAAATACTAGACCAATGTGTAGTGAATGGGAAGGTGGAGTATCCTCTGAGGTGGAAGGGATTTACAGACGCTGACAATATACGGGAACCTGAAGAAAATTTAGATGGTCCGGAGTCAATTAAAGCATTTCTTTTTTTCTTTTCCTTCCTTTTTTTTTTTTTTGCAGAACCAGGGATTGAACTCAGGCCCTTGTGCTTGCCAGGGAAGCGCTTATTCCACTGAGCCATCTCCCCGGCCCCAGCATTCCTTAATTCTCACAAAGGTAAAGAAATGGTAAAGAAAAAGATGGTACAAAAAGTGAATCTTTATCTGACTGAATCTGATGACAGCAAGTCAAAGAAAAAGAGATGCTGCTGACAAACCTAGAGTTCCTGCTAGAGTCTCGATCCTGAACAAATGGTGCCACACACGGCAGCAGAGAACTAATGCTTCCCGCGAAATGGAAAGATCCAGCTGAGGCTGACCTGGTGCTGGCAGAGGGGCGAACAGGAATGTGCTCACATCGTAACTGCTTTCCACGAGAGAGACTAGCTCGGGGTTCTCGGCCAGAAGATGAAGCTCAGTCACTGACATTACATATACATAAAGGGTCTTGAACTTTTTTTGCTAGTGTGGGGAAAAAAACAGCATTCTAATGAAAATTAAGTTTAATATGTCAGTTTTGAAAGTAGTAGTTCAGGGAGGCATTGGGTTTTGTTTGCTCTGCATCTGTAGCACTGGTTACTTCAAACAAATAAGGCTTTTGTAGTTGCTTCCTTTATTAGAAAAGAGCACTTGGTAGCCTGATACATTTCCTCTGCTTCTCTAAATATGAGGGGATTGTCCATAGTCCAAATCAGAGCTCATGTTTCAGCTCACATGCTTGAGTTGTGTGTGTGTGTGTATATAAATACAATACTTATGGAAATGGTTTTTCTTTTGTTTTAAAAAATTCACTGACACAAAAACTATGGGTAATAAGCTCATGTTGAGACACCATTGTTCTGAGCAACCTAAGAAATAAATCACTTTCAGTTAAATAGAAAGTTTTCCTGAAGTTGTAACCTTTTAAGTTACATAGATGGTTCTGTGGTTAATTGGACAGTTTAAAATGGGTATTTTCAAAGCAGCCCTATCAGAATCCAAATTTGTCTTTAGTCACAAAAATGCAGCAGTTTACTTGCAAAATCCCCCCCCCCCCCCCGCCAAAAAAAAATTGTTATCTAGCTGGGTGTGGTGACACACGCCTGTTATTGCAGCACTCAGGAAGCTAAGGCAGGAGGGTCACTGCAGGGGAGACCAGCCTGGGCTACAAAGTGAGCTCAAGGTGAGCCTGTCTCAAAAAGACAAAAAGAAAAAAAGGGGAGAGGCAGTGAGATAGATCAGCGGTTTAAAGCATCTGCTTAGGCAAGCTTAGGTAGGCACGGGGGACTGCAGTCTGATCTGCAGTACCACACGCCATGCCAGCCCCACCTTTAGGGCAGGCTGAGCCAGCAGGCAGAGAGAAAGAGAGACGGAGAGACAGAGAGAGAGACACAGAGAAAGAGACAGAGACAGAGAGACCCATATAACGTAGCAAATCAAAGCCTAGTCTGTTTGAATTTGATAAGGAAGACTTGTCAAGGAACATTAAAGAGAACTCAGGGCCTACTACTTCACAGGGAGTTGAAATCTGCACTCAAGTCAGGATTTGTGTATGTCTCAATACTCGACTCACGGAAATCCATTGAGCAGCTGGAAGTGTTCACAGTCTAGGGCCTCCTGGAATGAGCGAGTGGGTGAACCTGTAGTCTACCACTGGCCTGCACGTTTGTCTTGACCCCACCTTGTTCCTTGCATGTAGGCTCAATCTTTTCAGTATTCAGGTTACTATTGTCAGCAGAAGCCAGGAAGGAAAACAACTTTGTAGTAGTCAGAATGTTATCCTAATCCATATTGTTTACTTTATTGTAAAGAATGGTGAGCAGTGGTCAATAGTTTTATATTCCTTAAAAAAAAAGTTTAACCACAGCCTTGACAAATAATTCAGTACCATCGCAGCAAAGAATTATTTGTAAGAATTTGGATTTTTATAGTTACACTGACTAGTCAGTAAAATGATACAATAAAATTAATTCCATTTTCAAAAACATTAAGAGCAGTAAATGTTTTATCACAAAAAGCAAAACATTTTTATGTGGTTTAAGTAAGGAACTAAGCATTTCTTAAAAAGCCACCTGACAGAGAAAGAGGTAAGCCTGGAGGTGGCCAAGCTCACCTCGGCAGCTTCATTCATCTTGACAATCATGGCGCTAACGACGTCATCGGCGTCACTGATAAAGGTGCCACCGTCGCGATTCCGCCTCCGCTTGCCACTCAGGCTTTTCTTCCGCTGCAACATCATCTCAAAATCGGACAGGAAGTCCATACTAAGCAGTAACACAGAATTAAGTGACATCCAAGCTCTTTTCGTCACAGTTATCATCACGAGAACACGCACTGCCTAACTCACTCAATGAGGTGCCGCGCTTTAGAAGCGCAGCACTAATGACCTGCTACCAGAGCAGCCGCAGGAGGCCGGGGCCCACCTCCTGCTGCTCTGCGCCAAGTCATACACTAGCCACACAGCCTTGGACTCTGATAAACTACTGCACACTTGTACCTATTAGCTCTGAGAGGAAACACTCTAGCTTTCATTCAGAAAGTTCATTCATGAAACTCGACATGCACTGCCTTCTTTTGGAGCAGGAGTTAATGCGCTTTGATGTTTCTACTGCCTACACAGAAAAAATGAACTGCCTTTGCATGGTAAGAGCACAGCTCAAAACAACAGGACTGCGATGAGAGACAAAAATCTGTAGCTTGAATATTTCAGAGTTTCATAGCTTTCATACCTGAAAGACACAGTTGATCCTCTGATGCTATAAATTTAAATTTCTTTCTTTCTTTCTTTTTCTTTTTTTTTTGAACCGAGGACTGAATTCAGGCCCTTGCCCTTGCCCTTGCCAGGGAAGCGCCTATTTTACTGAGCCATCTCCCGGCCCTATAAATTTAAATTTATAAGTACTTTACTGCCATATTCACTCAGCACAATACTAAAGTATGAGTAAAATACAATCATCTATTCTAAGACTTTAGAATTATTTCCTTGCTCCCAAATCAGCTTTCTCTAAGACAAATATATTTTTAAAGTTCTTTTTCTTCCAAGAGTTGCTTGGTGAGCCACTGTGTTATATAACACCACAAATCAGGACAGTGGAGCACAGGCAAACTCTGGTAAGTAACTCACAGACAACAGCATATACAGAGAAGGTAGAGAGAGAAAAAGCAGAGACTGTATCCTAAAGTTAGAAATCAAAATGAAAACAGAGCATTTAACAGTCTCTACCTTCATCTATTTAGCTTCTTTAAACAAATTCCTTAAAAAATAAGAAAATCTTGTTAAATTCTTAGTATTGTTTAGTGAAATTCTGTATCATTGCTTTCTTTCTTAAAACTATTTTGTATTCTCTTTAAAAAATAAAAAACAAAAACAAAACAAAAAGGAAATCTCGGAACTTACTGTTTGCCCCTCTTGATGTTGTCATCAGAATCTGAGTCTTCAGCTTCTTTGATCTGTATTTCACTTTTTTCTTCCTCCAAATCTTCTTGATTAAAACCCTAAAGATAGAGTTCGTCAGTTATTACAGCCCCCTCATAATTTTTCTTTGGGAAACTGCTTTGATTTTCCAACAGATTCACAAAGAACAAAAATTAAGTATTTCCAAAAAGGATGTAATAAAATCTCCCTCCCTAGCCACTGGGTCACTAGTTTTCTTATCTCTTTCCAGAAGGTCTATTCATATAAATATTTCCTTGTGTGTGTGTGGTGGGGGGGGGGTACCGGGGATCCAATTCTGGACCCCACGCCTGCAAGGCAGGCACTTATGCCGTTGAACTACATCCCTGGCCCAATATGTAAATATTTCTACATATAAACATTTTTTATTATATGAATAGCGGCTTATTTTTCACAGCAGGTATGTGACATTGCCCTGCACGTCCCTAAAGTCACAAGAAAATGTGGACACCAATCTACACCAGCATGAAGTATCCTCACTGTTTAAGAAAGTTTTTTTGTTTTTTAATTTTATTGAGTTAAGAAAGTTTATTAGATGCACATGTAGTTATCTCATGGGTCCAAGGTCAGGAGTCCAGCCGAGTGAAGGGTGGACTGGAGCTGCTGATCCAAACACCACTCCTCATTCTCTTAAGGCTTTGGGTTCTATCACCAGAGAGGGCCGTGGCAAGAGTTTGCTCCACACATTTGCCTACTGATACTGTTACACGTATCTGAAAGTTTTAGATGAACTCGGACTCTCCCAGAGACATTATGCCAACTGTCCGTTCTACCAGCGACGGCTGAGTGTTCGTTTTATTTCTGATCATTACAGGTTATCAAACACTAATATCGACCACTCTCCGGCCAAGACCCAAAAGGCATTTCTGTATGGCTTCATTTTCATTCATTTTATTATGACTAAACCGGGCTTCTTCATTTATTAGAAGATATTTGCAAGGGTGTGGATACAGCTCGGTGGCATAAGGGCCTGCCTGGCAAGTGCAAGGTCCCAAGTTTGATCTCCAGTACAAAATCAAAAGATATTTGTAATTCTTTCTCTGTATTATTCTCTATTTTTACGTAAACAAAATGACAAATGTTTTTGTATAGCTTATTTTTGTTAACTGTCATACTTTAAGAGGCCTTCTAGCCAGGAAGACAGCCCAGCGGCATAAGCACCTGCCCGGCAAGTGCAAGGTTGAGTTCTGGAAGCAAAAATTAAAAAACATTAAAAAATTTAAAAAGGGAATGAAATAAAGAGGGCTTTTCCATGGCTCACTTTCGTACACTGTTTTTCTCAATGACTAAAACTACAGAAGTTGGGGCCGGGGAGATGGCTCAGTGGAATAAGTGCTTCCCTGGTAAGCACAAGGGCCTGACTTCAATCCCCAGTTCAGCAAAAAAAAAAAAAAAAAAAAAAGATAAAAGATAAACATGGTAGGCAACACTGCTTTCAGATCTATTTTAGGGCCGGGGAGATGGCTCAGTGGAGTAAGTGCTTCCCTGGCAAGCGCAAGGACCTGAGTTCAATCCCCGGTTCCGTAAAAACAAAAAACAAAAAACCAAAACTACAGAAGTCGATGTTAACTCTCCAAACTAGATAACTACATCTCACTCCTTACCTGGTGCTGCGCTGTCAACTGCACAGAGCAGTAGCCAATGCCTCTGGCAGTCTCTCAAATATTTATTAAACGAATTACTGATTACCTTTCCTTAGCTTTGTTATCTTTCTTTCTTTGTGGTCAGCTCAGCCTGCCCTGGGGCGGGGCCGGCACAGCGTGTGGTGCCAGAAGTGGAACCGCGGCCCGTGCTCTGCCTGCGCTCTGCCTAACGGGGCGCTGTAGACTGCTGAACGATCTCACCGGCCCCAACTATTTTGAATTAAATTCTAAATTCATCTATTTGCATTCTTGCTTTAGTAAACAAACTTGATTTCCATCATTCTACAAAGCCTTCAAATTGCAAATTGGAAAGGGCGTTTTATTGTTATTTCTAGTTTTACTCTACTGGACTTAGAAAATATTTTCTGTACTTCCTACCTTCGGAGAAACTTAGTTTAAAATGTAATGGAAATGCAGGGAACCACAAAAAGCCAAAGCAATGCTAACAAGCTTGGAGGAGATTAATTATAAGTAATTAATTATAACTAATAACACTAACAGTGCAAAGACAGAGGCCTACAGAACTGAGAAGATTGTACAGAAACAATTTGAAAAATATGTAACTATTTACAAAAGACATGGAACTGCTGAGCAGTAGGCAAGAATGATCATTTCAATAAACTATACTAGGTCAACCAGATATTCTGAACTGGATGTGTTTATGTGGTGATTTCAACTTTTACTTCAAATCAGACAAAAACCAATTCTAGGTGGACTAAACAGATATGCAAGGTAAAAAATACCCCCCCCCCTTTCTTTTTTGTCTTTTTGAGTCAGGGTTTCACTGTGCAGTTTAAGCTAGCCTTCAAGTGCTGGCCTCACATGCAGTGATCCTCCTGCCTCAGCCTCCTGAGTAAAAATAACACTCCAGAAGATAATCTGTTATATCATCTTCATGACCCTGGGGATAGGCCAGTATTCTGTTCATCAAAAGGTTCCATAAAGAAAGGGGACACAGCGGCGCGCGCTGTAATCCCAGCATTTGGGAGGCTAAGGCAGGAGTATTACAAGTTCAGGCCAGCCTGAGCTCCACAGCGAGATCCTGGTTCAAAAAACAGAGAGGGGGAGGAGGAGGGAAAAGAAAGGGGACAGAGGAGGGCTGGGGAGGTAGCTCAGCAAGAGCACCTGCCCAGCAGGTACAAGGTGTCTTGGGCACATCCCTAGTACCAGAAGTGGACCAGGCAAACAAACGAGGGATCTTGTAACTTTCATAACTGTCAAAGGGTCCATCACATCCAGGTTATATACAGAAAGAGTCTCTGTGGCTTTTGGACTGTTTGTTCTGTTAGCCACATTACTGCTTTCCATTTTTCTTTGTAGTTTTGTACGTATTTACAACCATATCAAGCATACAGAATTTTAAAATATCAATAGTGATCCTCTTTAGCTCAAGGGATGGTTCCTGCCTTACATCTACCTTTCTGAATTAATCTACATGTATCTTCTTTTGCTAAGTGTTGATACTGAGCATCTTATTTTTATTTTCACCTTTCTTCTTGGGAGACAAAGCTCTTGAAATGTTACAGTGTCCGTCTTCTACATTTCTTTTCTCTTTTCCTCAATCCTTTTGGACTGATTATCTTTTTATCAGCCCACTATTTTCCCTTTTTTTGTTTGGATTTACATATACCACTTACAGCCTTTCTAGTAGTTAGCGGCTGCTTAGACGACAAGGCACCTAAGCTTCCTGAAGCACGCACGCTATCCTGTCTGCTGGTGTAATCTCTGTTCACATGCAAAATCTGTGGACTCTGCAACTTCATACATACTTCCAACTTGCTGCTGCCGCCACGTTTTAACTCTGCAGTTTAAGTTACACAGACTTAAGTTTGTTTTCTACAGTCAGTGCTGCGTCTCGGGCATACTTTTGTTCACTTTTCCAGCTTGCTACATCTCCCACCTTCTACCCAAGATTACATTTCTCCCGCTAATGTCTTCAGGTCCTGCCTTCAGTTAGTACACTGTTAATTCATCCTCTCCTTATTTCACCCTCTTTTTTTCCTTTTTTAAGAATGTATTTTAGTACAGGGTCTACAGGGTCTCACTACACAGATCAGACTTATAGTGATGATCCTTCCTGTTTTCAGCCTCCCAAGTGCTGGGATTACAGGTGCAGCCACCACACCCAGTCTCAGCTGCCATCTCAACATGCCCTGGGGGTGGGGCCAGCACAGCATGCCAGGGATCAAACCCAGGTCCCTGTGCTCTGCATAAGCAGGCGCCTTAATCTGCCGAGCTATTTGGCCAGCCCTTATTTCTCACTCTTTTTTTTTTGTGGAATGGGGGATTGAACTCAGGCCCTTGCGCTTGCCAGGGAAGCGCTTATTCCACTGAGCCAGCTCCCCGGCCCCTCACTTACTCCTAAGAAGCACTTCTGCCGCATGTAACACATTTTTAACTTCACAGCTGAAGTCCAATTCCCTGCTTCTGCTGAAGAGCTGCCTATCAGCCGAGCTGCTGCTTGCACTCGCTCACCCCTCCACTCGGGACTGGAGCCAGGGGTGTGCTGCCACCCACAGCTACATCCCGGGCCTTCTGAGAACCAGGGTCTTGCACAAGTTGCCCAGCTGGGACTCAAACTGGGATCCTCCTGCCTCAACCTCCCCAGAGGTGGAATTACAGGCTTCCGCCACCAGCTAAGCGTATTTCTTTGTACTGCACTTGCTCTGAAAGCAATTAGTAGGAGTTCCATAACGTGTGCTTTATGTATTACTTGTGTCAACGCTGCTTCTGCCATCATGCGCTTTTCCTTGGCACTAGTACTCCAACTGGTTATGGTAAGCTTTCTCATGAACTGTGTCTCTAATCTTCTTTAGTTTTCCATAATATATCTCAATTCTTTTTTTTTGGCGGAACCAGGAATTGAACTCAGGCCCTTGTGCTTGCCAGGGAAGAGCTTATTCTATTGAGCCATCTCCCCGGCCCTATCTCTCAATTCTTAATTTTAGATATTTCCTTGTACCTTACCTTACAGTTCACCGATGTGCTTTTCAAGTATGTCTTCTGTTAAACTCATGTGTTGACTTTTTCATTTTAGCTATTATAACTTTATAGTTCTGAAACTTTTATTTGGTTCTCTTCCAGATCTGTCTTATCCTTTCAAAAATGCTTTTTGTTTTATGAGCAGAATATATTTATTGAGAGAAAGAAAGCGCCTGTCCTGAGAGAGGGACAGGAGGGGGGGGGGGCTGAGCGGGTAGTTCCCCCTCTCAAAAATGCTTTGCTCTGATGAATTTTTTTCTTGCGTGAACAGATTTTAAAGGTACTGTCCACAATTCTTGTATTAAGAGCCCCAGGTCTATTTTTATTTTCTTCAATTATTGTTCCCCTTAATCTTTTCACTGAATACTATATAGATAACAGATACACACACACACACACACACACACACACACACACACAGATCATAATCTGATTTCTCAGCTAAGGCTTGCTAGACTTTCTAGATGATGTCAAATTGGCCTACAATCCGAGCAAAGGCTTAATTCAGCTCACCCTTGCCAGCTGCAGCCCCACGCTCGCATGGGATTTCCAGGCTTCTAACCTCCCAGGCCTGAGGCTGTCAACATTATAAGCAGCTGTGCAGCGGGGCAAACTCTCTCCAAGGAAAAGCAGTTCCACACGTACAGTTACCATTTTAGATTTCTAACTGCTTTCTTAGTAGTTCTTTGATGACGAGCAGATTTCCAAATGCTTTTCTAGCTGTCTGTTTAATTTGAAACACTTGGACTGCCACTGGCAAGGCGGAGGGTCCACACCTACTGCGACTCTAACTTTTGTTATCTTGCCTTTATCTCTTAATGTATTCCTGCACCTCAGTAGCTCAACTTTCATGGAGCCGGGGAGATAGCTCAGTAGAATAAGCACTTGGCTGGCAAGCTCAAGGTCCAGAGTTCAATTCCCAACACGGCAAAAAAAAAAAAAAAAAAAACTCCTTTCATGTCTTTGTATTTTACTTTCTGAATCATTTTTCTCCTCAATAGCTATGTTTTGCATCACAGTTATTTATTCCTACTTATTGTAATAGGTGCATCAGAGAACAACATAAAACAAAAGCTTTAAATACTTTAACAAAATATTTCCATCATACTTACTGTAAATTCTTCTTCTTCTTCATCACCAGATTCTCCAAATATGTCTGCGATAAGATTTCTAGGAAAGAAACAAATAAAAAAGTATTATTCTGCTTTCTTCCATTTACAAAGAAGTTATTTTTAAAAATAAAGTATAATTTATGCGCAGTAAGATGTGCATATACAACTGTCTATTCAATGGGCTTTAAGAATGTATATTCATGTAACCAGAGCCCTATCAAGATGCAAAATAATCCCGCCTCCACTGCATGCTCCCTGTGCACCTGTCTAATCAGGCTCCCAACACCAACATCCTGGAAGCAACCAGCACTCTCATTTCCATCATCACAGGTTAGTTTTGCTGGGTCTAAAAACTTCACGTAAGAATCATACGTCACTGTGCTCTTGGCTTCCTTCCTTTACTAGATTATTTCGGGACCCATCCTAGATAGTATGTGCACAGGCAGCTCAAGAACTAAAACCCTAACTTCCAAAGTCATGAAATGAGGCAGTATCTCACCATGATATCCTAATACAAGTTTAAAAATTTTACAAGACAATGTACACTGTGACGAAAGTCATGCTATACTGTCACTTACTCTTCTTCATTGCCCGACTCACTGTCACTCCCAAACAGATCTTTCTCTTCATTTTTCTTATTAGACAATTCTTTCCTTGCTTCTTCATCACTGTCAGATGCGACAGTCTTCTCTCTTTTGCTTGACTTGTCTGACACAATGTCACTGTCAGAGTCATCAGCATCAGAGACAATACGATTCTTCTTTGCTGCTTTTGAAGAAGAAAATCATCATTAATCTTGTTCTGCCATGCTCATTCTACCACTAACCACAGTGGATGCTCCAGATGGCAGCGATAGCAAAGAAAGCAAAAAAAAAAAAAAAAGTGCCTGCCATGATTAAAAAGAAAAGTGAAAATAAATAAAAGGAAAAGAACCAGCAGGGAGTATATAGCTCAGTGGCACAGCGCTTGCTTGGTATGCCCAAGGCCCTATACTCAGACCTCTCTACTACAAAAACAAACAAATCCCCAAATATTTCATATTCAGTCATCTTAAATATTATGTTATTCTGCTTAGTAAAAAAAATTACCAAAAGATGAATAAAGAAATCAATAAAGCTGGTGCCAGTAACACCTTTCCTTTTAAGATTCACAATTAAGGTCAGCAACTGGCATCCTTTCACACTGCCCAATATTACAACTAATAAGGCAGAAGGATTGCCACGAGTTCGAGACCAGCCTGGGTGGTAACGCGTTCAAGGCCAGCCTAAACTACCTGAATTTTGACTTAAAAAAACACAAAAGTGGGCAGGGAGACTGGTTATCCTTTCTAGGAACATTCATGTTTCTTAATTATTGCTGGTTAGTTTGACATTTCTCATCCTTCAAAATGGCAGCCAGTGTGACATTCTTGTAACTTTCTACTCCTGAAACCATTATTAGGAGTGTTTACTCCAAAGAGGTTTCACAAGAAAGTAATCCAGCTAAGTTACTGTGAAAACGGGGTTCCAGGTAGCCAAGACTGCGACAGTCTCCAGAGACACAGAGCCTAAACACTCTCTCCCCAGCCTCCCTGTAGTTGGGTACTCAACAGCGTCCAACAGACAGAACCGGCCATGCAGCCCAGTTACTACTTAGAGGGGACCTCCTGAGCCAGCTGTTCGAGACCCACAGCCACCTCTGACACAGTCAGGGGTTTTCCCGTGAACCTGTTTCTTGGAAACACATTACCTTTTCTGGTGAAGTCTTACACGCCTACTGACTCGTAGTCAGTCTGGCTTATCACTTTGCACTGTGAAAAGTGAACAGACGCTGCCAGAGTAAGTCAAAGGGTGTTTAATTTTAAGCTCAGCCCATGAGAAGCAGGAATAGAGCATCAAGCTGAATAATACGTGTTTAACATAACGGAAAAGGACGGCATAGTTTTTCATAGTTAAGGCTTAGGCAATAAGGAAAGCTACACAATGGAATTCCTTACAGGCTCTTTCTTCATCTTCACTGTCGGAAAGCACGGCAGCTTTCCGCTTTGCTACTTTTGCTTCCTCGCCCTCCTTTTCTTCATCTTCATCGCTGTCCACTTTTGGCCGTTTGGGTGCTTCGTCCTCACTATCAGAACTGTGGAACGGTTTTTTTGCTGAATGGCTGTCTGAGTTAAAGGAGTCATTCTGAACTCCTGGGTCCCCTTCCTTATTCTCCCCGTCACTGTCATCATCTGACTGAGGCTTTTGTTTGGGGGTGGCTGTGTCCTCAGCTTCAGAGTCACTAGCAGGTCCCTTCTGAGGCTCCTCATTATCAGAGTCACTGACTCGGGGCTTGGGGAGCTCCTCGTTTTCTGAGTCACTGGCCTGGTGCCTTGGGGGGTCCTCACTTTCCGAGTCACTAATTTGGGGCTTGGGGAGCTCCTCATTTTCAGAATCGCTGGCCTGGCGCCGTGGGGGGTCCTCGTTTTCAGAGTCACTGACTCGGGGCTTGGGGAGCTCCTCGTTTTCTGAGTCACTGGCCTGGCGCCTCGGGGGTCCCTCACTCTCTGAGTCACTGACCCGGGGCTTAGGGAGCTCCTCGCTCTCAGAGTCGCTCACGCGTGGCTTCGGAGGCTCCTCATTTTCCGAGTCGCTGGCCTGGTGCTGTGGGGGCTCCTCACTCTCCGAGTCCGTCCCTCGAGGCCTCAGCGGAGCCTCGGGCTCGGAGTCACTGGCAGCGCTCTTCTGGAGCTCCTCCGCCTCCGAGTCGCTGGCCGCATGCTTCTGAAGCACTTCGCTCTCCGAGTCGCTCACGTGCCCATTCAGGGGCTCCTCGTTCTCAGAGTCACTCCCGAGGGCCCTGGGGGGTGCCTCGCTCCCAGAGTCGCTCCCGTGCTGATCTGCGTCCTCATTCTCAGAGTCACTCGCGGGAGGCTCTGCCCGCTCCTCGGAGTCCGAGTCGCTGTCCTTGGGCCTGGGGAGCTCCTCGCTCTCAGAGTCACTGGCGTTGAGGTTTGAGTGCTCATCATTCTCAGAGTCCGTCGCAGGGTGTCCTTTGGTGAGACCATCCTCTGGATCACTGTGCTCATTCTGAAAAGAAAAAGAAACCGTGGCACCACTGCAAAACAAAGTTGACAGTCAGCTGTTTAACACCGTCAACAGCTCTCTAAGTGTGGGAACACACACATGTAAATGTGTAGCGCTCACCCCACTCCTGTATAGAAACACCCACTCAGAGACTACCTGTGACGGGCTCACCACAGTGGGGCCCTCCAAAGGGAAAAATGTAACTGAAACGGATCTATACAGCACGAGGTTACTTCTGAAGAGCTACAACTTTTAAAAAGGGAAAGAAAGAAACCCTAACTTCTTCATCTAATTCTTCTTTTTAAGTATTTAGGACAGGGTCTACAGGGTCTCACTACACAGATGGGACTCATAGTGATCCTCCTGTTTTCAGCCTCCCAAGCGCTGGGATTATAGGTGCACACCACACCCAGTGTGCCTCTGGGGCAGGGCCCAAACACATGCCAGGGATCGAGCCCCTGGGCCCTGCACCTGCTCCTCATCTATTCCTAATACCCCAAAACCTAACTACTTTTCAGATTAGTACAAGCAAACATGTAATAAATTCTTTTATATATAAGCATTCTTGGGTTTTATTTTAGAGAAAAAGATCATAAATCTTAGTTGTATTTAATGAACCAAATAACACGCATTCTCCCGAGAGAATCTCAACAGGGAAAGGAGGAGCTGCTACTTCCTGAGCATCTGTTAAGTGCTCCTAATGTTTTGCACTCTGCTATGTTCATCTGTTCCTCACATTACTTCTCATGTAAGAAAACTGGCTTGGCACTGCCACAGCTACACACCTTGCACTTCTGAAACAAAAGCCTAGTTGTGGGGACAACATGATTACTCTAACTAGCCCACAATGTAACCTGATACAACTACCATGAAAACATGCACTAGGACACAAACTTTTTTTGGCAGAACCGGGGACTGAACTCAGGTCCAAGTGCTTAGTCTACTAAGCCAACTCCCCTACCCCCCCCTTTTTTTTTCAGGCATAAACTTAACATACACTAACTATGTGAAAATACAGAAAAGGTACACAAAATTAAACATACCAAAATACTAATGAATTTTGAAGAGTCGGAGTCTTTAGTAACATAAACGCCCACGGCTGTGCTATCTGTGAACAGTAAAGTAATGAGAGAAAACACCTGGAATGTGTTTTCACAAAACTGATTCTTCAACTTCCCTGGGCTCACGTAAAGACTAACTGCTGTGTTTACAACTCTAAAGACAGCATTCGCAAGCCTACAAAGCAAAAAAGCTTTTTAATATTTTATTACCACAACATGGCATGCCAAAGAAACATTAACTGCTGTATCAATTAACCGAAATATGAACTTGCCCAAATCATAAACATTTTGAAATCCCCAGGGGCATTCTTCGGGCGTTCTCACTGGCTATTTAGCATGGTCCTAGATTCCCGGCCACACCCTACCATCGCAGGGAAAGTGGTGTTCACCTGTTAAAGGTGACACTGGCATCCAAGAGAGACAACACAGAATCTTGCCAGCATAGTACAATCCATATGCTCCTTAAAGTTCAGCCATATTTCCTAACTTAAAAGAATGTAGATAAAAATTTATCTAGAATGTAAGTCCTTAAGAACACAGGTAAGGGCTGGGGAAATAGCTCAGTAGAAAAAAAAAAAGAACACAGGTAATATTGAGTTTATTTTCTTCCCTGAGGTATCTCTAGAGCACAGAACGGACTCCAGTCACACAATTCACAACAAAGTACTTAAGGAATGGAGAATAAAGGAGTTAAGTGAGAGAGTAACATAAACTGAGCATTAATTCGGCAAGCATTTGTTTACCGCCTAGTGTGCGAGGGACTAGCCACCAAGGCTAGTGTGCTGCTTCGTGTCTGATGCTGTCTAATGAGAAACCAGGCAAACAGAACACAATCCCACTGACACAGTGATAGTGTGCGCTATTATGAAAGTACACACACAGCATTTCGAAAACCTATAAAAAAGGAATGCATTTATGAAACTGAGTCATAAGGTGTGAAGACAACAGGAGTCCGCTTAGTTTGTGATGACCACGTAATTACGGGACAGAGCATAAAGGAACCACATGAAAGTGAGATGGAACGTGCAAGCTGGCCTTTGGACAGCGTTTCATGACACACGCATCACTTAACTTGTTTATGTCAACTTATCTTAGCAGCAAACGGAAATCATCTCTGGTTAGGTTCAGAAACAAGAACAATCTTCAGAACCAAAGGGAGACGAATGACTAACAGTCCAGAGAAGACAAGCAGCACAGAGAACTTAGAAATGGGAGCTCCAGGCTCTTCTCACTAGAGCACCATCAATAGCACGACTCAGTTCTAATCCTGTTATTTCAGTGTCTAAAATCTAACCTCACTGGACAAGGCTCCTAGACCCTTCTATCACCTTCTATCACCCTCTATCCTGGATTTCCTGACACACAACCTACGCACTGCGAGACAGCAGAAAGTACAAGGACATTACATATGGAAACAATTGTAAACCTTAGGACTTCCACCAACTTTAAAGGGCTAGCCAAGACTCAAGATAGAGGATAACTAGCCAGTGATGCAGAATTTGGGAAAAGTATGTTAGAAATTATACAGTTACTTCAAAATTATAATATTCAAAAGTTTCAGGCCACTTTTGGCAATTAAATTGTAAATTTGGAATACAACTTTTTAGAAGTCAGATTAAGTACAACATATAATGGAAAGCACTACTGAGACCCAGAGCTACAGCTCAGCGCCACAATACCCGCCTGGCAAGCAAAAGGTCCGGAGTTCCATTCCCGCTACCAAGAACAGACGTGCAACGAAATGGTCTATATATTCTTAATAATGAAAGAAACACTCTGGTTGCCATTGCCTGGATACCTGAGCACAAGAGGATCCTGGAAGGATTCAGAAATGTCTGTAATGCCTCATACCTGTTAGTAACATTTCACATGAAAGTTATACAGAACTACTGTTTACCCATCATAAGGAAAAAACCTTGTTTACTTCAGCATACAATTGTTTGTGGAACAGGGCCACAATACACACAGAAATAACTGACATTCTTAAACAGAAAACCAAATACTAAAACTGTGGTAAGGCAAACATTAAATTGTATATTTCAAAGTAGTATATCATCAAATTGAAAAATTGCCGAACAATAAGACACTTGTTCTCACCCATCAGAAGGGTCAAACTCAAAACAACAGAAACTGTTTACCTGTACCATTATAAACCAGTAAAACACCACACAGTAAATTACACAGCGAATTCCCTGAAGAAATAACTAGAGAATTTTGAAAACCATGTTACACTGCACCCCATGTCCAGAAGATTCTAACTGAAATCCCCTTACTAGAATTTGTCCATGCAAACCAGGTGAACTGGTACAGGACAGAGCGTGAGGGGCTGGGAACGTACCCCAGGGGCAATGCTCTGGCCTGGCAGCATGAAACCTTGGCGGCAACCCAAAATAAATACAAGTTTAAAAAGGGAAGGTAGAGTCTGAGAAAAGCAGCAATAAAGCAACGCAGGGCTGCTGGTCACAGAGGTTCTTGGGCAGCTGCTCCAGGAGCTCCCTCTTACAAGCATCCACGCTGCACGGAAGCCACACATGGTGCAAGACAGTCCTGATGTGGACTGGGAAGACACGCTGCACAACGCATGCGTAAGACTTTATAAAAGTCAAGTCTCGCTACCTCTCCAGACTCATTCCCCGGCTCACCAACATCAATGCAAGACGACCAGAGCTCCCACACTTCAGCAGGCCCAGCAATCTCTTGGGGAGCTTCGGTGAAAGCGTCACACATCCGGGTAACGATTTCATTAGCTATGGGGAATGGGTCAAAGAATTTTCATCCTGACAAGTGATCTACAAATTGGCTGCATTAAAGGTCCTTCTCCAGCCATCTGGAAGCGCTGACTTCAGTCAGCTTCATCCGCACACTTACACAGGTTGTTCCTGCTGCCTACATGCACTGAGCTGTACCTTGTCGTTTCTGTATCTTTAAACCTGGCAAAATTGCTCCTCTCCTGAAGCCCCTTCTTTCTCTCTAGATGCAGCAGAATCCAAGCACACAGCCAAGAACACAAACTTTAGTCAGAAAGGCCTGGAGTCCAAACTCAAGCTCTCCTACTTGCTATTGTGTGACGGGTGGAAATTTCCTCCGTCCCTCAAAGGTGGTGCAGTCAGGGCCAGGGTTACACCTCAGAGGGCTGCTCTGCAAAGGAGGTGCCTGCAAGGCAGGAACAGATACCATTGACTGCAGAGCACCCACTGTGAAGGCCTCAGCTTGGCCTCCTCCACGAGGGCTGCGCATCAGCCACCCCGCCTTCACATACCTCTGCTTCCCGGGAAGCTGCCTGGTCCCATGTTTATCTGCAGCACACACTCTGACCTCTGAGATCACAAACAATTTTTAAAATGTTCCCCCTCCCCACAGAAGAAACCAAAATGCCTTTCCTAAAAGGAGAAAGAAATCCCATAAGCAACCCTGAACAGAAAGTGTGATTCCTAACACAAGGAAAAGTACAAACGGAATCAAAAGAACTAGAAAGGAAGATGGCACACAAGGACAGAAATGGCCAGGAGCTCTTGTGGTTGGTGACACAAACCCCACAGAGACACATTCTCTCCTGAGAGCTCCACAGGGGCCAACTGCCACCTTTACTCAACTCTGTGAGGTGGGAGGCGGCTTTCGCCAGCACCAGCTAGAGGGCGGGCTGGCCTGCTGGGTCCCGCCTGCAGCTAGAAACAGCCGGAGCCAAGTTTCAAATAACCTTCCTCAGCATGGCCTCCGCTCAACGGGACCCCCAGGAGAACGCATACACTGTTTGCTCCTACAGCTGAAACTTGCAGGTACCTAGATTTTAACATACGTACTTCTTTAGTATGTTTTCTATGAAAGAGAAAATAGCTGACCAAAACCCAAGAAAAGTTACAATTGGTAACTAGTCACAAGTGGGTCAGATTTGGGGGCCATCCCTCCCTGTGACACTCTAAATTGTTTTATTAAAAAATTGGC